AAGCAGAACAGCTCTGGCCATTCCTGGCGACTGGAAAACCAGTGGAAACCAGCTGAACTCGAGGGGGAAACAGGGGAGGCCAGGCTGGGAGGAGGAGGAGGAGGAGGTGCTGGCGGCTGGTCTTTGAGGGCAGGGGGGCTTCCCAGAGGAGGCGAGGAGGAAGCCAGGGAAGGGGAGGTTGGGACGGGCTGCGGGCCTGTCGTGCCGGGGAACTAGCGAACGCGGTGGGCTGCTGGACGGAAGCGGCAGGAGGACGGAAGGGTGGCCAGACGCGGGGGGGTCCCCCATGCCCAGTGGAGGAAAGGAGAGCGCACAGGTCACCCTTTGCCCGTAGAATCACGAGTTGCCCTGGCATGGAGGAGTCCGCTTGGGCGGAGGGGAGGGCTCAAAGGGGCAGAGCTGGCAGGGAGATGCACCAGGGGCAGGGGGAAGGAGGAAAAAGGGGAAGATTGGAGGGAGAGAAAGCCCAACAGGCCTGCCAGAAACCTGCCATCCAGGTAGGGTTGCCCACCAGCTGCCTCCCTCCCTCCCTCCTCTCCCAGTGTCTGCTGCCTGCCAGCAGGCAGGGAGGGCCGGGGGCCAGGAGGTGCTGGCTTGCATCCCCATGGTGGCCAGGGGACAAGGAAAGGGAAACACTTTCCTTCTCCTGGCTGCCAGCTGCCAGTTCTCCATCCAGGGAGCAGGGGGATGCTCTTCTCCCACATCCCCTTTTCCCTCGCCTCCCCATCTCATCCCCAGGGTGATGCAAACCCTGGTCCCCCTCAGGGGTCTGCAGGGCTGCAGTGCTGTGCAGGGGACCTGGAGGGGGGGGGCGTTGGGGAGTCCGCTCCTCAGATTAGCCCTGTCCAGTGCAGCACGTGCCCCACATCGTGTTGTCACCATTGCTGAAGGGCACAGTCCCCACTTTGGGCCCCGAGACCCCCGTTGTGCTGCAGGGACCACCTTGGTGGCTTTCCTTGTGCCTCAGGAGAGACCTGACCCGGTGCCTATGGGTGGGCTTCTGCCAGAAGGGGAAATCGCTCCCTGGCTTTCCTCCCACCCAGTGGTCCTCCCACCCCAAATCTGCCACGTGCCTGGCCCATCCCAGCTGCGAGGTGGCACAGCACGGCCTCCATGAGCAGGAGGCAGACCTGGGCAGCACGAGCCAGGGAGCTGGGGCCAGCAGGAAGCCAACCTGCCACTGTCCCAGCTGCCATGGGCCACTGCCACCCCAGGAGGCAGCCAATGGTGCTGGGATCCTCGAGGGAGGTTTGTTTTCTCTTTCACAGGCATTAACCCCTGGCAGATAAGAGGGGCCCTGGGTGAGCAAACATGGCCAGGGCAAGGCAAAAAACACGTGTAGCCGGCCAGGAGAGCAGCTCCATGCCCAGGGCTCCCCCTTGCCAGAGGATTTGCCTCCCTGGCACCGCCTGCCTGCTCCGAGGTGACCTGGGGACAGGCAGGGGAGGGAGGCAGCAGCGGGGAGAGCTATGCAGTGATGGAGGTCCCAGCACACCGGCAGTGAGGGGTGTGAGGCTTCTGCATTGCCTTTTGGCATGCTGCCCTCTGCAACCAGCCCAGCAGAAGGGACCCAGCTCCATCCTGGTCCCCCAGCCCCTGAGCGGGGACTAAGACCAGGGAGGGACATGTCCCCAGGCAGGCACCCAGACCACTGATGCTCTAAGGCACCCCGCTCCCCAAATCCTCTCCTTTACCCAACCCACCCTCTCCCTCTTGCCACACATCCGGACGGCGGATTTGTTGATCTGAGTGTCCTCCCCACTGACCCAGGGAGGTCATCGCCCTGACATTGCATGTCCAACCGCTGCCTCCTCACTGCACCCCAGTGCCTCTGGGACCCGCCTGAGTGCAGGGACCCATCCCACCTTCTCCTCCAACCTCAAGCCATCACCTCCCTTGGCGTGCCTCAGTTTCCCCTGCTGGCAAAGCAGCTGCCCTCCCCGCACCCCCGTCTCCCTGCTGCTCCGACGTGTCTGCTCAGCGCCTGGGGACCCAGCCAGGGGAGGACAAACAAACCAATATATAAATATTGCATTTTTCCCTCCCCGCTGCCCCTCCTCCCCGAGAAGCACGCAGTCCCCAGGCCTCACCCTTTCCCCAAGGGTTCATCTGAATAGCAAAAAGAAGGGAGAGGTTTTTCGCCCCAGGAGCCCGGACAGCCGGGCAGGGCACCGCTCCAGGAGGAGGTGCTGCTGGGAGGGAAATCCTCATACCAGGTTGCAGCATGGGTCCAGCAAAGCTGCTTTGCAGTCAGGGGAAACTGAGGCACACCAAGGGAGGTCAGAGGGGTGAGGGAGAACACACGTTTTGGGGGGAAAGCCTTTTTCTTCTTCCCCAAGAGGAGGGTCAGGCAAGGGGGACAGCCAGTAGCAACCTGCCCACCATTGCTCATGCACCGCCTTTAACCTCCACAGCCAGTCCTGGGGGCACAGCCGGCGTGGTTGGGAAAATGCTCTCTGAGGGCTTCACCGTTCCTCTTGTTTTGTTTAGGTGGCAAACGAGGGGACCGAGGTGCTCACCCTGCCAGTCCACCCCAAGCTCCTGTCATCCCCTGCCCCATCTGTGACCGGCTCCTGCTCACCCGGCAGCAGCAGAAGACGGTGGATTAACCCCTAAACCCACAGCCAGACGCAGCTTCCAGCAGCCACTGCAGCACTGGGAGTGACCACAGACACCCTCTGAGGACACCTCTGCGCTGCCACCGTCCTCACCACCGGGGAAGTACCCATTGCGGGTGATTTCATGAGCACAACCTAGTGCAGGGAAGCAGGGGGACAGGCACCTCTCCCACTCGCTGAAAGCCAAGGAGACGTGAGCCATTCCCCTGAGAGCATCGGAGCAGGAGCGATGGGGAGGCCAGGGATGTGACAGACCACCCCAGTGTTGGAAGCCCATCAAGGGCTGGTTTTGAGGGCTTTTGCAGGGGCAGGGGAGAAGTGAGGGGTGCAACATGAGCTTGGGGAAGCTGCCGGTGCTCAGCTGGGTGTCAGGCTCCCATGGGAAGCGGCGGCTGAAGTCGGAGCTGACACCGGACATGATCAGCCCGCCGCTGGGGGACTTTCGGCACACCATGCATGTGGGGCGCGGGGGCGATGTCTTTGGGGACACCTCCTTCCTCAGCAACCACGGCGGGGCCGACACAGCCAAAGCCAACAACTTCTTCGCCCGGACACTGCGGCATGTCCGCCGGACGCCGCTGAGGAGCCGGGGCAGTGGGGGCCAAGCGGGGTCATCCCCCGCCCCCCCAGCCATCTCGCCCATCATCAAGAACGCCGTCTCGCTGCCGCAGCTCAACGAGGGGATGTACGATGGCAGCAGTGGCCGGGGCTTGACCAGCAAGTTCTCCTTCAAAAGTGCCTCTAACAGCTTCTCCAAAACACACCAGGCCTACGGTGAGTGAAGCGCGGGGCAGGGGCAGGCATCCAGGCACAGCACATCCTCTGCAACCCCTCTCCATTCCTCTGTGCCTCAGTTTCCCCATGGAGGGACTTGAGGCTCTCAGTGGAGACAGGACATTTAAAAGTCCCTGTCAGGAGATAACCCTAACCTTGCTTTCAACTGCTGTCCTTCCTCCTGCCTTTGGAAGGTCTCCTCCCAGGGTACCCCCAAAGTGGGGCAGGGATGGTTTCTCCGCCTCTCCCACCCCCCATAGCACTACACAGCTGGCAGCCTGTGTGGAGCAGTTTGTAAGGGGGTGTCCCCATCTCCCCCCGGCCCTATGACTTCCCCATCAGCAGCCTCCTTGAGGAAGCCAAGAGGGTTCTGGGACAGGGGGGCAATGCCCACGCCAAGGTAGCAAGGTCAAGGGGACCTATGGCACGGCCTTCCCCACCTCCATGCAGATGCCCCAACCCTGTCCCAACCCCTCCACCTCCATGTGGTCCTCAAGGGACTCCATCCGCCCCATCCCCTTCCCCATTGCACCCAGATCCCTCCCTGCCGGCAAGTGTCCAGGAGGGACCTTTGGGGAAGGACAGGATGGGACACCTGAGTGACTCTTCTCCAGCCTCACAGCACTGGGCTGTGGCTCAGCTTTTCCCCAGGGAGGCCTGGAGCAGAGGGTCTTGGGGAGGGGGGGATCCCGGGAGCCTGCAGCAACCAGGGGAGGTGGCTGGGCTCAGAGGGAAAGGCAAGCTGAGGCAATGCTGCCATCTCCTGGTCCCACCTGCCTGGCTCAGCCCCCACCAGCATCTCACCATGCTCAAAGCCCACCTGGAGACCCTCTGGTGTAACTCCGGGCTTTGGAGATGTCCACACAGACACTGGCCTGTCTTTTAGAGGCCAGTGCCGCTGATGGGAGCGTGACCTTTCCCACTTCAGTGGCGCTGTCCCTTGTCTTCTGCAGATGTAAGGCAGGTTTTCTCCCACCTAGCCGTGCTCCCCCTCACCAGGCATCTCTTCTGCTTTTGCAGGGCTGGAGTCTGGGTTTTGCACCATCCCTCGTGTCCCCCGCTTGGAAAAGGCCCAAGAGAGCACCTTCCCTGGTGAAGAAGAGCTGAATCGCTCAGACTCCCTGCTCTCCTTCCGTCTGGACCTGGGGCCCTCCCTGATGAGCGAGCTCCTCCAGGTGATGAGCTTCTCTGAAACCAACGGGAGCGAGGTAGGGGAGGATGGCCCAGACCTCCTGTGTGGTGAGGGAACCAAGGATGGGGTCCCTCCAGCATTGGGTGCATCCCACGGAGAGGACAAGGCAACATCCAGCTTCTGGGACCGCTCTGGGCAGAGCAGCCTGTCGGGGGCCAGCTCGCTGCCAGGACTGTCGGTCCGTGCCAACGGAGAAGCACACGCCATTGAGGGTGCTGGAGAGGACTCTGCCTGGGCTTCAGGGCCAGAGGCAGTGCCCAGAGGGACCCCGTGGCAGGGGCACTGGAATGACTGCACCATAGAGGCGGGAGAGTTTGACCGGGCAGCCCAGGTCCTGGCCCGCCATTATGGTGGGACCAGCACCCCGAGGAGCTCGGAGAAGGGCGAGGGTCCCTGGCAGGCCCGGACGCAGACCCTGTGGGAGAGCCCCAGCAGCAGCTCATGGCGGTCACAAGTGACAGGGGAGAGCCGGTCCCCCGAGGCCACCTGGAACCAAGGAGAGGAGGAGGAAGAGGCAGAGCTCTGCAGCCTGCAGGAGGGGTATGCTGGTGCCCGGGGCGGGCGCAGCAATTCCTTTGAGTACGCCGACGATGAGGAAGATGATGAAGTCAAGGTGTGAACGGCCATCCCCCCCATCACGGCCCCCCGCCAGAGGCACTGGTGCCGTGGTCTTCGCCCTCCTCCCTGTCCCCCACCCTTAGGCGCCAGCATCGCCGGTGGGCCCAGCAGGCAACCTCCTTGCCAAGCTGGGAGCACTGGGGGGCAGTGGGTGGCAGGAGGAGAGCCCACCTCCCGGGGGGCTCCCCGGGGCTGGGCCAGGCTGCTGCGGGGGGCCAGGTGAAGGCTGTGCATTGTAACGTCAGGCATCATGGCCCTTCCCCGGCCTCAGTGCCATTAGACACCAAAGGGACGTTCCCATGTGCCAAAGAAACCCCAAACCCCTTTCTACCCCATCCTGTTCTCCCCAGCGCCCTCTCTCCCATCCCTCAGCCTGGCCCTGCCAGCATGTCCGGGACATGCCCGGTCCTTCCACTGAAGCCCCCCAGCAACCCTCTGTGCTGGCACCAGTGCCCTCCTGGAGATATTCCCACTGACAGCTATGGCACATAGTGGATGAGGAGTGTCCCCAGCTCCAGCTGGTGTGAGACCCTCCCGTGTGGCACATCTGTCTACCTGGGGAGGGCAGCTGGGGGCTCAAGCGGCAGGCAAACCCCACAGAGCTGAGCCTTCTCTTTTCCCCTCCCCCCAAAAAAGCCATAAGCTCAGCGTTCAGGAGGTGAGAGCACGCACAGAGATAATCACAGGGATCCTTCTGCTTGCCTCCTGCCGCTGAGTGTCACTTAGGATGGCTCCTTTTCTGACCCCCGCCTCCTTGCAGCAGGGAGGGGAGAAACTTCTTGGCTGTCTGGAGGCAGAGGCGAGGTTGTCAGGTCACCAAATTCTGCAGTTCGGGTCCTACAAATCCCTTCCTTTCCTCCTGCCTCAGAACAAGGAGACTCCCACTCTGCAGCTGCTCGGTCTGCACCGCCTCATCTCTATCCTCGCTCCTTCTTCCCATTCCTCACGCGCGCATCCCTCCTTCCAGCATGCCCCTTCCCCGGGGTATGCGTGGAGGATGGCTAATGCCCCTCGCTGAGCAGCCCTGGGCCACGCGGCTGCCCTGGAACGAGCTGCCCCCCACGCTGCCCTGCATGCAAACTGGCCCTCACAGAAGCATCTTTGTGCCACAGCGTGGAGCCAAGATGCTCGGGGGCTGAGGTCACTGGAGGGACCCTCACAGGAACCCCCTTGTTCTCCGGGACAGGAGGGGGTGTGCAGCAGGGGGAGATGCTGGGCTGTGGCCGCAGGGCTCTGCTCCCACGCAGCTCACCCGCCGCCTGCCCGGCTGCTTCTGGCAGGGAGATCTTCAGAGCAGAATAAAGAGGCTCTGGCGTGCACGCGTGTTGTATGTGGGTGTGCCACTCACAGTCAGGCCATCGAGGTTATGGGCAAACCCATCTTCCCCAGCCTCCCTGGGTGGCTGCCTCGTGCTGTCTGGCAGCAGGAAGCTGGGGCAGGCAGCAGCTTCAAACAGAGTCCCCAATTCTGGCCACTGGCACCCAGCAAGGTCAGCCTTATCACCCCTGCACCCTCTGAGGTGGGCACCCTGGCTCTCAGGATGAGCTCCCCCCTTCCTCTGCTTCCCAGACTGTAACAAAAGCTCCAGACCAAAGACCCACATCCATGGAACATCCCTTCTGCCTCCACTCTGTATCCCATGCACTTATTATTGTCCTTATTAAAGCAGTTTTGATACTAACTTCTCCTCTGGTGCCTCCCCTCAGCTGCAGTGACCTTATCACCCTCCTTGCTATGTCTGCCGGTGCCGCAGCCACAAAATCCCATCCTCTGCACTCTCAGCACGATTTTCCAGCACCTCTGGGATCCCTGGATTAACTAGCCTGGTACTTTGCCACTCACCGTGGCTAACACGCAAAGCAACCTCCTACCCACCCAGCCCTGCGTAGCAGGCAGGAGGGTGCAAAGCTTCCTCTCCAGCCCGGTAACAATTCCTTTGCAGCCTGAAGCAGATCGGCAAAGCTGGCTTGGCTGCAGCCCTCCCAACCCACCAGACATCTTCTGCCCGTGTGCTCAGGTAGCTTTGAGTCCTGCGGGTTGGGCAGTGAGGAGGTGGAGAGGATGGGCAGGGGTGCTGCCAGCTTGCCTTGGACCAGGCTCTTCATAAGATGCTCTTCTACTCTGCTCTCCTCCCAGGCAGCCTGAAGTGCCCCGATGTTTGCTGTCACACATCGGTCTCATTAAGGCTGGCGAGACACTTTTTAATTAGAGCTGCGGCATCAGATAATCAGCACTTAATTGCCTGTAGTCCCGTGCGAGGGACACAGACTGGGAGGTGCTGTGCCACGTAACCCAGCCCAAACCTTTCCTCCCTTCCCACTGCCTTCCCCTGCCTCACTTTCACCGAGTAGGGTTAGGTGTGGAAATGTCGGAGTAATGGGTAACCCGGCTGGAATGTGCCAGCAGATAAGTGAGGTGAGATAAGGGGGAAAGTTGGAAGAGACAACTCCTTATCGA